GGGCCTGGGAAGTATTGTTTTTAGAAAGAACAGACTATCGAGCCCCGAATACATCTCAGACAGCAAGAGGGAGATGGGGTTCAGATTGTCCAGTGAGTTGTTTCAGAGACAAGGAGCAGCTCAGGCGGATGACGCCAAGGCCGAGGAAGAGGGCGAGGAAGACGGCCATGAGGACGATCTGCCTTGGGACGAGGACGCCGTGGAGTGGGAGGAGGACGTCGTCGATGCTACCGCCCTGGAAGTGTTCTTGCTGTCCCACCACCTGGAGGAGTTCCTTCCCTTCTTCATGAGAGAGCAGATGGATCTAGAAGCCCTGATGCTTTGCTCTGATGAGGACCTTCAGAGCATCCAGATGCACCTGGGGCCCAGGAAGAAAGTTCTTAACGCCATAAACGGAAGGAAGCAGGTGCTCCAACAGCCCGGGCAGCTGGTCGACACCAGCCTCTGATGGAGCGTTGGGTCCATGGGGTGAGCCTGCTGCAGTGGGGTGACGTGGCTCACTGGAAGCCCCGCCCCCCAGGCCACGCCTGCTCTCTGCCGAGTGCCGGGCCTCTGGGAGTGGTGTCTAGGATTGCGGAGACACCCACTTTAGGGAGAGGCCCCGAGCTCTACTCTGAGGAATTCTCTGTACCCATCCAAATAAACCACTGGTGAGAGACTCACGGAGACCCGGGAATTAAAGAATGGATTCTTCTTCAACGATCTCGTTAATCTTTTTGGCTATAGAAAGCGTTAAATGGATGACAGAGAAGGGGAAAAACCGTCTTTACTTTTCCAACTCTGGACTTAAGATTATGCTCCCTCATCCCACTGCCGCTTACTTTCTGATTCTCGTGCCGCGGGGATTCTAATTCCAGTTCCGTCCTTTGCTCTGTACTTTGTTGGTGGAGAGGAAAGGTCACCCATTGGCTTGAGACTTAATGCCCAACGTAAATGTGTCTAAACCTTTAACAGACGTTCACATGTTTCTAGTAATGGAAATGGGTCTATAATACCCCTGCCTGAGAACAGAGACAGAGAAGGAGAGTGAAGAAAAATGGAATGTAGGGTACTTGCTATGGACTGAATTGTGTCCTCCCAAATTCACAGACTGGAGCCCTAACCCCCGATATGGCTGTATTTGGAGATAGAACCTTTATTAGAGGCAGGGAAGGTCAAACGAGGTCATCAGAGTGGGGTCCAAGTCCCACAGAACTGGTATCCTCATAAGAGGAAGAGACGCCGGGGATGCGCGTACACAGAGAAAAGGTCACGTGAGGACGCGGCGGGAAGGTGGCCATCCGCCAGCCAAGGAGAGAGGCCTCAGGAGAAACCCGTCCTGCCGACACCTTGACCTTGGACTTCCAGCCTCCAGAGCTGTAAGAGAATACATCTCTGTTGTTAAGCCCCGCAGTCTGTGGTAGTTTGTTACAGCAGCCCCAACATAGCGCCCAAGCAAGAAGGTTGGGGAGGAGGAAAAGAATACAGAAAAAAAAATGTCTGGCACGTTCGATGATTTTCCTAAGGGTAAGTGCCTCTTAAAACTAAAAAAAGAAAGAAAGAAAGAAAAATCTAGGTTCTTCGTAGGGAACATGTGATTGTAAAAATGAATATTACATTTTCATGCCCTTTACGTGTCCATCTTTTATTCACGGTCGTCGACCGCCGTCGCTACATGTCTGAAAACACTGAGGTCCTGCGATATAAACTGGCAGCATGGCAGCTGGCATGTTTTTGCGTGGCGTTCTCAAATTCAGATCGAAACCCTATGGAACAGCTAAGCTGCATTGCATTTTTATGGCCAGACTTACGTCAGGTGTGTGCATCATTTGCACACAGCTGTTTACCTGCAGCGGGCTTCCTGCTTCGCATCTGTGTTATTTCAAGAGGCGCCGTGGAGGACATCAGCTTAGGGAGGATACGGATGCTCAGATCTGAGGGACAGGTGGTTCTTTCTTACTGCTAGGATCCAGAAAGGTTGTCAGTCACCGCATAAATACGTCACACTAGAGGATGATTGTGTTTGCAAACATTACATTTTGTTGGTCTGGATTAAACCGAAGTGGTATTCGCTTTCGATAACATGCGTGAAAGCAGTTAGCGCAGAGAAGGCGCCCACACAGCATTTGCAGCCTCCATCCGCACTCCGTTGCCAGAGGCACCAGGAGCCTCTCTCCACGCGTTCCCCAGAATCCGCCTGACGGTCAGACAGTCGTTGCTAGGATGTAGGAGAAGTAGAAGCCACGAGGGAAGCACGGCTGCTCACAAGAAGGATGCTCTCCAGGAGAGCTTTGTACTTCATCATCGCAGGTAAAAGCAGTGTAGAAAGCCCGGCGATGTATTCTAGCAAACAAGAGGCCACGTGAGGCGGTACAGAGAATTCTGAGCTGGTTGAAAAGAAGGGCACACACGTGACCCCTTCATGTAATCACAGTGAATGACGTAAACCTCTGTGAGCCCAGCATGGTTCTTAGAAGTTACGTTGAATGTTTTTGAACAGTTGTGTCTTTTTAATGAGGTTATTCCAGCTCGCAGACCCCACAGGCTTCTCTGCCAATGCCCGAACATCTCCAGTTGGGCCAGTTAAAAGGCCAGTTAAAGGTTACATACTTTATGTGCCATTATCATGAAGACTGGCTCCAAGCGTGTGAACAAAACAGAATTAGCTTGGGTCTCATATGCCATGGAGACAATGGGACGAGTTGAAGGGTCCCCGCTCCTGGGAACTCTCCTACCCCCACTGCCAGAAAAGCCAGGTGCTGCTCGCCACAACGCAAGCCCGTGCCGGGGTATCCGGTCTCCGTGGCGACGACGTGAGGCACAGGCACGGGCGCATGACGGTCCCGTGAGTCTCAGTTCTGGGACTTCTAACTGTCGAGGAAGACAATCTGTATTTCTGCTTGGGTTGCCGGAGAGGACAGACTAGGATTCAGGAGCCGCTGGCCACCACCCTGCCACTACCGAGGGGGTGCCTGCTTGATCCTGGGGCCAACGCTGAAGAACACAGCCGAGGGGTGGAGGGGGCAGGGTTGAGTCCCTCTGACACTGGGAGCCCTCGGGTGCAGCTGCGGCCCGAACCGATTACCCATGCACTTCGTAATTACAAGAGCCACTAGATCCCATTTCTCACTCATTCGCTCGTTCAGCTTAAGGTAGTTTGAGAACTTGTGACCAAAAAAGTCTCGAACGATATAGAAGCTCCGCTGTTCCTCGAAACTTTCATTATAAGAAGCCAGATGCAGGACGCTCCGTAAGGTACGACGCCGCATCTCTAAAATGTCCTGGAGAGCAAATCCGTAAAGATGGAAGGTAGATAGTGGTTGCCAGGGGCTGGGAGGAAGGGGGGAAGGGGCTGACTGCTAATGGGTGTACGTTCTCCTTTCGGGGTGATGAAAATGGTCTGGAATGAGGCACGCGATGGTGGCACAACTCGGCGAAGACCCTAAAAACCACTTCAAGCTGGTGCCCTTTACAGTCCTCCAATGGTCCTTCGATTTAAAGAGCAGCATGGAGCCGTCGGAGGCGCCCGGGCGTGAGTGGGAATGCGCCATCCCCTCGCTCTGCTTGCGGGGAGGGATGGAAGCTCTGGGAACAAGAACTGCGGACTGACACACGCTCTGTTTCCAGGAGTCCCAGACGCTGGTGGAACGCAGGGGGAGGGCTTGCCGCCGTAATCGGGTGTGACAAGGCGTGACGCAGCGTGGCCCCTGGCTTGGCTTTGCAACTACTACACCAGTGGGGGTCTGGTGATCGACAGCAAGGCATGCTAAGCGCAAGACTACAGTTCCCTGGGGACGAGGCTCCTTCCCGTGACCCAGAAATCCTGAGAACACCGGCAGCAACACCCCTTGAGCTGGAGCAGCTGCCTGAAAACAAAGTCGCTTTGTTTTATTTGCCAGGGGACCCTGGTTTAGCTGCAACCGTGTCCTGTCCTGCCATTCCTGGAATGGATAGAAATTCGGTTCATTTTTTTTGTCGTTGGAACAACTTTTTCTGAAAACGCCCAGGCCCTGGGACTGGTGGGTTCCTGAGACGCCACCCATGCCGCTCATGCCCATCCGGGTCCCGAGGACCGACACCCAGGTGAGCTTGGGCATGGCAGTCCCCGAAGGGCAGAGCAAGGCAGGGAACATGATCCTAAGCGAGAAACGCCTCCACGCAAAGTTTAAGTGTCCTTCGAAGTTTAGTTCGGGGTCAGAAAACCTTCTGCGAAGGGCCAGGTGGTAAATATTTTAGGGCCTCGGGGGCCACGTAGCCTCCGTTGTGACCGCTCGATTCTGCCATTGAAACGCAGGAGCAGGGTGGACGATACACAGACCAGGGGGCCCGGCCGGATTCCCAGCGAACCTCCTTGGTGGACGCTGAAGTTCGTGTTTCATATACGGCTCGTGTGCCATGAAATCTTATTGTCCTTTTGTTTTTTCTCCCCCAAACATTTGAAAATGTCAAAACCACTCCTACGAAACCAGGTGGTGGGCCAGGCCGCTCCAGGCCCAGCCCTGCAGGCTCCAGCCGCCCCGCTGAGTCCTGCCGCCGAGGCCGCCTGCCTTGGCCCGGGATGGGTGTCTGTTCTCCAAGGGCCGGGCCCGGTTTTTATTCATCTTTGTAGCCGCCGCTGGCCCCAGTACGGAGCCTGACACACATCAGGTGCTCGACGTGTGTCTGCCAGGTGAAAGGTTATGCCGCCAAAACCACCCCAAAGCGAGAAAGCAAAAACCGCTCAGAAGGGTCGAGCGGCTTTCTGCAGAGTCTGTCTCCTGAAGGGCTTGGCTGACCTCTGACCTGCTCTGGACGCGGTGACTCTCACACACAACTGGACCAGTGGGACGTCTTCGAACTGGGCGTTGGGGCAAGTTTAAACTGCCTTGGCCTGTCTCTCTGTGCATGAGAGATTTAAAGATGTCTACTAGCCAGCAAGGCATGGATATGGACCAACCGGCACGAGTGCCGAGTGGCAATTTGGGGGCTCGGTCCTCAGAAATATGGAAGATCTTTAGAGAGAGACAGAGGGTGTGCCTGAGGGGCAGCGGCTTATCGACCAGCCAGTTGGGGAGTATTCATTATTTCAGATATGTCAGCTCTGCGGTCGTGCATGTCCATGTCCTTAGGTCTGGGGGCAGGAGAGCTGGACTCAGGGGCCAGACCGAGCCCATCCTTTGGAGGACTTCCGCCTCTACCAAATCAGCTGATAATGGGGCTCCCCGCGGAAGCCCTGCTCACATTGGCAAGCCAGAGGGTAGGGAAGGAAGGAAAAAGAGGTCTCGGGCTGCACTTCCTGTCCGGGCCTCCCTCACGTTGGGTCTCCCAGCCATTTCCCCTAAGCTCCCCGTCTTCGAATATTTTTACCCTCCACCCCCCACCCCCACCTCTGGAGGATGTCTGCTCCCGAGTTCCACTGAGATCTAAGTCTAAGTGACAGACTCCTCACACTGGCCATATGCAAATCGTTTCGCAAGAGCATCTCCTTTATTATTTACAAAAACTGGAGGTGACAGGTGGTGGAGAAGGCGTGAGGTCGGATGCACGTCCAGGGAGTGGCGGAGAAGGGAATCCGACCCAGGACGGCCCAGGTCCAGAGTTCACGTGCTTAACCACTGCGTTGAGACACGTAAATAATTGACTCGAATGATGGATGTCACCGTGACTCAGCCCCAGAGCCGGGTGACTCATTTGTCTTCCCACCGGCGACAAGCGGACCTGCCTCGGGCTCTGGTGGGACGTGTGCCTTGGGGGCGATGGCCATGACCTGAAGACTTGAACACATGGTCTTCTCACAGCGGGCTGGCTTCTCTCCCCTCACTCCTCCCAGCTCAGCGAAGATCTCAGCCTGGGACATGAACACACGCCGACCCGGGCCATGTAGCCCGTGTCTGCGAGGGCAGGGAGGGCATCCCTGGATTGGATGAGGAGTAAATCTGGTAAATAGACCATTTGTACACGGGATGATGTCAGGAGGATGCTTCCTGCTAGAATTCTTTTGGGGGTACCATCGGCCTCTGTGTCACCGTGATCCAAGTCTGTGGCCGGGGGAATGTCCTGCCAGGGCACTGTGTCCCTGAGGACATGGGCGTGTTCTTATCTCAACACTCATGGTGGCAGCCCCCTCCATGCCTCTTCGCCCTGGTTACAAAAGAAGAAGAAGGCCAGACAGTGGCCCAGCCCGGTCCTGTGCAGGGGCCGCGTGGGGAGCGTTTCCAGGCTACGGCTGGCCCCCAGCAACCAACGCCACTCACTTCTAGGACAGCCCCGTCCTGCCATTTTCCCTTTTCCACTTCATTTCTCATCTCATTCCTAAAAGATTTCGAGGCAACGTAGCATGCATCTGTTGGGACTTACTGTCCGTGGGATGCTTCACACGTATTATCGGTAGCCCCCACCAGTACGCGTCAGGTCTGATCCCCATTTAAAGAGGCACCAGCTGAGGCTCGAAGGCCTGCAGGTGCTTGCCAAGGCCATGTCCTGAACACGTGCACGTACAGCTCGGAGAGCATCATGCCTTTCACGCCTCTTCCCGGAGCAGAGACATCGCTTGCAGCTCCTCCGTGCCCCACGCCCCTCTGGCTTCCGTCACCTCCTTGCCATTCGTTCAGTCATTCCCGTCCCCCCTTCTCTCTCAACTGTGACCAAAGAGCCCAGTGTCAGGGGCTTAGAGAAAACCCAACCAAAAGAAAACCAGCTCCATCCTGGCCCCGAGCTTTCACGTCCTCTGCAGAGCCCAGAACCACCACCGTGAAACCCGGCAGCGGCGCACGGGCTCATGCAGAGGCTGCAGGGAAACACCTGCAAGCTGGTCAGCGGGGCCGGGCCGGGGATGGTGGCGACCCGGGCACGCACAGGAAAGCAGAGCCTAACGGGGTCGGGCGTTGTTCAGGTCCAGCTAGTTGTTGCCCGTGAGAAGGCAGGTCTCCTGCTGGTGATCCCCATTTCTGAAACTATCTGCATGCGTTCTTTCTTGATTTTTAGAACACTCTGGGGTCCAAACGAAACACATCAGTTTGCTGGATCCAGCTCATGCCAGCCAGGCTTTGGAAAGCGCTAGAAAGCCTGACTTGCGCCCTCTCCCGCTGTCCCCGCTTACTCTAATTTTTCAGAGAGTGCTGTAAAAATGCCCATCTCCAAGGCCGTTTGTGGGGCGAGTTCTACAGAACGAAAGAGTAACTCATGAAGCTCACGGATAAATCATAAGCTGGTGGGGAAAACCCCAGCTTCGTCAGGCCGCCCCACGTTTTTCAAAGGACCGTGTGAGGCCACTCGGGCAGGTGGCAGTGGGCCAGGCAGCGAGGGGAGGCGCTGATCATGGCCCTGCTCCAGCGGAGCTGGCACTGGCCGGGGTCAGACACTGGCTGGGCGGGTGCAGGGCAGGCTGCGGGAAGTGGGGGGCGGGGGGCTGGAAGCAGGCCTGCCTCTCGGCCAAGCCGTAAAGTGAGTAAAATCTGTCGTTGGTGTTGGCCGGTCGACTGCACTTATGACAGTTTTCTTAGATCTCGTTGACACCTCTGTGAACCCATCAAGTGATTTTGTCCTTGGGCCAGGAAAATACAAGAGACGTCTTGACCCCGAGTCGAGTCGGCCCCTCCCGGGGACAGATTCGGCACCTTCGTCCTACAGCGTAAGGAAATCGCCGTGACCACGTGAGCCTGGGAGGGGACGCCGAGCTCCAGGGGAGACCGCAGCCCGGAAGTCACCTTGATCCGTCCCGCGCGAGTCGAGGGGCCGGCTGACCCACGGGCTGTCTCACGCGGGAAAAAAGAAATCGTGTCTGTCTTGCTGAAGATTCAGCTCTCGTGCTTTTCACCAAGAACTGGTTTCTCCTGATGCCCCAGTTCCTTTCAGAAACCGGCTCACTGTCCGTACAGCCCCCCGCATCTCTCACCCACCAGCTCAGCCACCTCCTAGCCCCGCATCCCCCGACCCGCAGCACGACACGGGCCCCACAGGCCCATCCCTCAAACGGGTGCGCGTCTCATCTCCTTCACAGAACTTACCTTTAGCTGGAACAGTCCAGCGCATCTGTCTGTCTACTCATTCGCCGTCTGCCTCCCCTCAAGGGGAGGAACGCACCGGGGAAGAAGGCAGCAGGGAGTCTCGGCGTCCGGCCTCACTTTTGTGAGCATCTTCCCACTTTCTGGCTCAGGTAACGGTTCCAGATTCATCTCGCACCTT